ATATATATATGACCATTTGGATATAGCAATGAGAAGCCATAAAGTATTTCCTTTAAGTGAAAAGGTGAAAATTCTTGACTTAATAAGGAAATAAAAAATTGCATGCTGAGTTTGGTAAGATTGACAGAACAATTTTTCTGTGACGTTATGAAGAAGGAAAAGGAAATTTGTGCTAGGTTTTCTGACTTACCTCAGATTGCAAAAGAGATAGCCATCGTATGTGGTAAGTGCTTAGTTAAGTTGGAAAAGGCATTACATTTGTGGTTTCTGTATAGTCTTTTGTTTCAAGCAGCAACTCAAGGTCTTGGAATTTTGTCCCTTGTAGCTAAGGAGGGCTACGCTAAACAGTCCACCCACTTTTTTTTTTCTTTTTTCAGAGAGGGTCTCATGTATTCCTCCCCTATGTAGCTGAGGAGGATCTTGAAGTTTTGATCCTCCTGCCTCCACCTCCTGAATGCTGGAATTACAGACATGTACCAGCATGCCTGTTTTATGTGATACTGGGATCAAAACCCAGGGCTTCATGTATGCATGCTAGACTGGCAGGCATTCTACCAGCTGAGTTGCATTTCTAGGCCAGCAATCCCTTTATTAAGCTCAGATGATGCTATTTACACACACCATCCATTTGTACACTGCAAGTACTGGTGTTTAAGAAGGTGTGCATTCTAATTTTGTTTCTGTTGCTGTGATAAAATACCAAGTCAAAAACCAACTTAGGGGAGAAAGGGGTTTATTTCAGTTTACAGTTCCAGGTTACAGTCTATCACTGTGGGGAAGTCAAGGCAGGAATTTCAAAGAGCTAGTCACATCACATTCACAGTCAGGAGCAGAGAGAAACGAACACATGCATGCTTTCTTGCTCACTTGTGCTCAGCTTGATTTTTCTGCTCCACACAGTTCAGGGCTTCCTGTCTGGGGAGGCTGGGTCTTCCACATCAATTAACCTAATTAAGACCCACCCCATAAGCCAACTCAATGTAGACAATCCCTCATTGAAACTCTCTTCCCAAGTGAATCTACATTGTGTCAAGTTGACCATTAAAGCTAACCATAAAGCACTCTCATGTATACCACCTGAAGTGTCTCACCCTCCCCCAGGGCATTCCTCATATATGGGTGCACTTCCTTGTATCCCACAAGAGAGGGGCTTGGGCAAGGTGAAGACCTGCCACCTCTAAGGTCTCTGGCTGCCACTCACCCCAGGCTTTTTGGCAGCTGCAAAGGGGATTCTGTACACATTGTATTAATTCTATATTCACTTTCTAAACCAAACAAGTGATCAAATCCTGAGAGAGGAGAATTCAGTAAAACTTGTTGACGACCAACTGCTGATAGAAACATCTGATTTCTAAGAGATTTGTTATATTTAAAGCTACTCAGCCGCATGGGCAGTCACATGGCTCACACATACTAGCTCTCACAGCACACTCACACTTGCTACCCTGAGTCATGTAGTACACACACAACTCACAGACACACCACCACATATACTCTCACGTACTCACAGAGACATATAATTCTATATTCACATACTTGCATTCTCTCATACACACACTCAGATGTTCAGACACATTCACAAATCCACACATTTGCATCCTCATCCACATAGACACTCATGTGTCCACACACACACACACACACACACACACACACACAATCCCACACATGCACACATACACACCTGCCATCTGAATTTGCAGATACAGCAGGTGGTGACCAGGGGTGGGAATGATCAGTTGACTCTCTGGAAGGAGGCAGTGGGGTTCTACCCTGAATTCCTTCTGCCCAGCTATGATGACAAGCTCTTCCTGGGCATACGGGGAGGGTGTGGCTCAGAGGGTACCATCTCTAATCCCACCCCTTTCAGGGCTTACTTGTGTCTTGGCCCAGTGGTCAGCCTCCATGCAGGCATCTTGGCAGTGGTTATGGCCCATTACCATTGCTTCCTCCAGCATCAGTCCACTAACCACCCTCAAGCATGGCTGGTTCACCATCCGTGACCTGCTTTAGGGCACCTCCGAGGGAGGACCCCAGACACCACTACTTGGGTTGCCAGAGTCTGACCTGAGCTATTTTATCCTGAGACAGGGTCTCACTAAGTCTCAAACTTGTGATCGGACGTCCTGCCCTGGGCTCCCAAGTACTGGGATTATGGGCACATACCACATGCCTGGCATCTATCCTTTGTCCAGAAGTTCGTTGGGGTGTGCTGCACTGAACTCAGGTACAATATCTAATGCATTTGGACAAATGTGCTCATTTATATCACCAGGGCCCAAATCAAGAATGTAGGACATTTCTCTCACTCCAGAATGCACATAGATCAATTTTTCTTGATCTTTGAGATTAGTGTAGATAGAATCCCCACCCTACACCCAACTCCTGCCCAGTTCCTGCCCAAGGCTTTTCTGCACTTCTGGAGCCCTCTCCAGATCTGTCTCGGAGCTTCAAGGCTCATTTAAGAGTGTCAGAGACATGAGGCCTGTAGTCTGTTCTGTGCCTCCCTTTGCTCCCTAGGCGATTATCCCATAGCTCTCTAGGAGGATACTCCATTTCCAAGCCTCCCAGGCTTGTTCCCCTTGGGTCATATCTGGCTGAGTAGGGAGGCCTCTGGCTCCCATCCACCTGATTCTTCCTGCCTTTTCCACTAGTTCTCCAAAGTGTAAACACAGAAGAAGGCCTGTCTTCTAATTTCTCTACTCCAGTTCACACCAGTATGTGATCTGAAATTGCTCAGCAGACACTGGTGAATGAATTCATTTTAGTTTCCTGAAATAATACTTTTCTTTCTGATCTTTACCAAGTCATTACCAATAATTTGGAAAATGGGCTAGAGAGACACCTCAGTTGGTAAAATGCATGCCTTGCAAGCAGGAGGATCTGAATTTGATCCACAGATAATGCATAAACAAAGTCAGCCATGGCAACACATGTAATTCTACCACAGGCAGAGTCAAGAAGATCCTTGGAGCTTGCTGCCCAGTCAGCCTGGCCTACATTATGTGTATGTGTTCCTGAGCATTTCATGAGAGGGGGTGCACATATGTGTGGAGGTGTGCATGCATGTGGTTTGGCATGCATGTGAGGGCCAGAGATCAACCTTGGGTATCCTTCCTCAGATGCCATCTACCTGGTTTCTTTGGGAAATAAAGGTCTCTCAGTGGCCTGGAACTCCCCAAGTAGGCTAGGCTGGTGTTACAGTAAATCTTGGTTGTCAAGTTGACTGGACCTGGAATCAACTAAAAGGTGGGTTGTTGGGCACTCCCATGAGGGTTTGTTTGTTTTGTTTGAGACAAGATCTCACTATGTAACTCTGACTGGTCAGGAACCTAACTATATAGACCAAGCTGGCCTTGAATTCATGGAGATCTGCCTGCCTCTGGCTCCCCAGCGCTGCCACCGTACCAGGCTCTGTGAGGGATTTTCTTGGTAGGTTATTTGATGTGGGAAGGACTCACCCTAAATGTGGGAGACGAAAGTAAGCTTGCTTTTGCCTGTTTAACCTCATCTACCCTGTTGGTGCAGTTCCTGCATTCCGGCACTGGTACTAGAACCAGCTTCTTCTGGCTTCCAATGTAGACTAAAGACCAGCAGCTCTCCAGGAATCCTCCAGGCCTTTAGCACCAGCCTTGTGGATGAGCAACTGCTGAATTCTTGGCCTTTCTGGTGTGAGACAGCCATTGTTGGACTACTCAGATTGAATCATGTAAGCTAATTTACTAAGTCTCCTTTTAATGTCTATTGATCCTGTCATTTCTGTTCTTCTAGAGAACCCAGACTAATACACCTAGCTAGCCAGTGACCCCAGGAATCCTCCTGTCACCAACTCCCTAGCACTGAACACATACCATCAAGACTTTTTTTTCCAAACACGGCTTCTGGAGATTGGACTCAAGTTTTTATGCTTGTAAGGCAAACTCTTTACCAGCTGAGCTATCTGCCTCGCCGTCTTGTTTTGAGTTTTTGAGACAAGGTCTCCCTGCATAGCTCAGGTTGGTTTGAACTTGCATTCCTCTTCTTTGGCCTCCTGAGTGCTGGGATTAGGGACCTGTGGTGGCCTGTGTGTCCCCAGCCAAATCCCTCTCCTTGACCTGTCTTTGATTCAGAGCTCAGTCAGGTCCCAGTCAAGCTGATGAAATGGGTATGCAGGACTAGGTTGGGGTATCTGGGTCCCCAGAGTGGAGCTCTGGGGTCAGGGTTGGCATCAGTCTGCTAGTCAGGATTCCCATTTCTCTTTCCCTGGCTCTACCACATTCCAGACTCAGCCTGGGTGACTTCACTTTCCCGTTCCCTTCCTCAGAGGCAAACATTCATTTGGTAGGCATGAGGCCCAATTCCACCCCTTCCTTGGCAGCCTGTGGCCTTTGCTCTCTGTGATAGATTTAGCGTGTCCTCTCCTGGCAGAGTCTAACACATAGCTCTCCTAACCCCATCCCAATACGCTGGTCATTTGGGTGAACCACTACAAGTTATGGATAGATCAAACCTCTGTCTATCCACTGCACCCGTTTGTCCTTCAGGCCTCCCCCACCCCCATGTGGTGGCCCTGAGAGAGGGCGTCAAGCTACATGCAACTGGAGGACAGGGGGAGTGCAAACCACCATCTGGAGATTCAGATACAGAGCCGACTCATCAGGGAACAGTAAGACAGTATATACTTAAGGTTTTGCCAGGAGCTCTGGAGGAGCTGCGTGGGTGGGGAGGAGGGGGAAGACAGATGGATGAATGGGTAGCAGAGGGGGCAGGGCCTGATCAGGAACCCCCAGACTTGCATCCTGGCAGAATCTCCTGGGGTTGTTGCCTAGGGGGCAGCTGGGTCCCCTGAAGGGAGCACTGGGGTCAGGCTACACATCAGCGCACTAGACAAAGATTTGTAGGGAAGAGGAGTGGCAGACAGACAGATGCTGGATTGTGAGGGAAGTTAGTATGCAAACAATAAAAAAAGAATTCCGCCGCTTGCCTGGCTTTGCCACACCCCAGCTCCAGCAACCCCCTCTCCACGGTTTACTATTGGCCCAATGGAGTAGATTAGGCTAGCTTCCTTGAAGCATGCCCTGGAGCACTGGAAGGGCCACTCTGAGTGATTTGGAAGGACTAAGAGAAACAAGGCAGATAAGGCTGGGAAACAGGAGTGCACAAACACAGGCAGACAGGGCTGGGTGGAGAGGGCTGGGAGAGGGGAGCAGCAGGCTGGGAGAGGGGTGCAGCAGACCTAGGCCCGTCATCCAGAAAGCCCCAGGGCATGCATGCATCTCCCAGTTCTGAGGAACAGTTCAGGGCATTTTTTCATTTTCATTTTTAAAGCAAAACTAGTTTATTGGAAGATATCCCCCCAACCTGCCCTAGTACTCTGGGGCTGTGCTTAATGCAGGCAGCTTTAGTGTTCTCTAGGACTCCTGGAAGTAGCCCAGGGAGAGGCTGCTATCTGCTTCTTCCACTCCTTGCTTGAGGAAAGAATCACAAAGCACAGCAGAAGCTACAGCATTAGAGACAAAGTGCCCCTCCCAAGGCTGGAGAACTGGCCCTGTGGATTTGGCAGGCAGTGGATCCCCCACTCTGGGTGGAGACATGGTGGCTGGCTCTGTTCGCTGCCCTGTCTGTCCTCCCTCACTTCACTGCTGGGAAGCAGTGTGACACACGTCAGGCCAATGTCTATTAAGTGACTGGGCTGAGCCCCATCACTGGTTGCTTCTGTCATTTGGACTTGAAATGACAGTACTGACCCCTAAGGATAAAGAGGTTTCCAACTCATCTTGAAGAATAGTTTCCAGTGTACTGGGAGCTCCAGCCTACTTGACCCTGCATATGCTCAAGGCAGCTGAGGTATTTGGGGGAGCAAGTCCCCCGACCCAGAGGTCACTGTGGAGGGAGGACAACTCTAGAATCAAATGGGGGGGGGCAGTCCACTAACTGTAATGGTTGTGAGGAACCAGTCCCTTCATAAGGAACAGTGAACTTTGTCTACCACTGAAGTCCACTGCTGGAGGGGCTTTCCCAGGCTGTTGCCCTCAGACCCAGGCTTGGGTCCCTGGACTGTGGATCCTCAACTGGTGGTGCTGGTTGGGAAGGTTACAGAACTTTTAGGAGGTGAAGGCTTGCTGGAGACATTACTTACTTGGGAGTGGACTCTGAGGTTTTAGCCTGGCTCCACTTTGTTCTGTCTCCCGACTGCTGGGCTGGCCTCCTGCTCCTTCCACCATGATGTGCCCACCACGGACTGTATCTCTCCTGGCACTGTATGCTAAAATAACCCTTTCTTCCCCAACTTGTTTTTTTTTAACCTTTTTTAAAAAAAATTATTTTTATATAGTTTTTAATGTGTATGAGTGTATTGCCTGCATGTATGGGTGCACCCGTGTTGTGCAATGCCGCAGAGGTCAGAAGAGAGCTTTGGATTCTCCTGGAACTGGAGTTAAGGACAATTCGTAGCTGCCATGTGAGTGCTGGGAATTGAACCCCGGTCCTCTGCAAGAGCAGTCAGTGCTCTTAACTGCTGAGCAATCTCTCCAGCCCCCTTTTAACCTTTTTTAAGGTCTCAGTGTAATTCTAGAGCTACAAGTGTTATTACACATCAGCAACTTTTTTTTTTTTTTAAATCTCGGCATTTTATCACAGCAGCAGAAAAATAACTTAATTCACTTGAGTATTTAGAAATGATATATCCAAAATGTGGAATTTTATCATTGAACTTCTGAAACAGGTTTGACTGAAAATGAAAAAAACAAAACAAAAAAAACCAAAACAAAACCAAAAAACCCCAAACCACCCCCAAATGTTTACTGTTTTAAATTAAAATTAGAATTTAGGTCAAAACTGAAACAAGGAAAAAGAATGATGACCTATATAACCCTGTCTCAGGAATCACCAGCAGTGAGACTTTGGTGGATTCAATTCAGGCCTTTTCCAGCCATGCTCCTGACTGCACACAAGGTCTTCTGAGGGTGCTTATGCCCTGCCCTGTGGAGTGGGTCTTGCTCCTGCTGATTCTGGGCCAGGTGGGGAGGCCAACCATCCATGCAGAAGTGCAGAGTGCCAGGCGGGGGACAGGAACAGGGATAGAAAAAAAGCTGTGCTTTGACTTCTGTGCACATGTTCCAGAAAGTACCGTGAGGGTCTGTGTCCATAGGCAAGGTGGACTACTGTTCTGGGAGTCAAGTGCCTGAGGCATTTCAGGTTCCTGGCTGAAATGAGGCACCACAGATGCTATGGGGTCTCCCCAGTGTTCTGAGGCCCCTGGGGCCTTACTCCTCTTCTCTTACTGAGTCTCAGGGCTGGCTAGATGGTCTCCCCAAACCTCAGCAGCTTCCAAACACTATGGACACCAAAGAGATCAGACTGTTTGGGTTTGAAGCTGAATTGTTCCTCTTTGGCTCATGTTTTCAATGCTAGGTTCCAAGTTGGTAGCACTATTTTGGGAAACTGGGAGGCAGGACCTGTCTGAAGAAAGTAATTCACTCTCTTGGTCATGAAGTGGATAGCCATGAAGTTTGTCACAAGCTCCTGCCCAAGCACATGGGATTGACCATGGTCTGAACTCTCTAAAACCATAAACCAAAATCTTTCCTCTTTTGTTTCTGTCAGGCATTTTGTCAGTGACACACAGCAACTAATACATGGACACTTAGAGGTAAGAGAGGCAAGTAGGACTCAGGTGAGTCTCGATTTCATGGTTTATTGACAGCAGTACAGTGGGCCCCAGGAGAAGGCTGCCTTCTGAGCTCTTCACCTTGGGACTTATCCCTAAGATCAGGGAAACAAGACTCCCTGTTGCACATGACTCCCAGGAAACCCACTGAGATGTATACAGATAAACCCTTGGCAAGGCCTGCATGGCACATGAATGGCAAAGCTTGGTATATTTGGCAAAGCTTGGTATATTTGGCAAAGTGCCCAGTGAAAGCACTAGACTCCAAACAATGACCCTTGGGGGCTATGGAGGCAGAATCAAACCACAAACACAGCTTGCTTAATACAGGTTGACCCAATTTCCATGTAGTGTGCGCCAGGGCCAGGGCCATCCTCCTGGCCCTGAGAATACTGCTGAGGTAACCAGGAAGCCCATGCTGGACCTCACCATGGGGAGGGAGGGGTGCTGTATGCTGAACCCAAGAGGGTAGGAGCAGACAGACCATGGTCAATGGCAGGGACTTACCCAAGGCCTCTGGGTGCCTATGCCTCTCTCATCATGGGGCCTGAGACCACCCCCCCCAAAGGCTATGCTGCAGATACTCTGCTTCTATGTCTCTTAAAACACACTATTTTTTATCCTGGATTCTTACCAAAAACCCTTAAAGCCAGGCTGTACCCTCCTACCCCTCACCCCCACAGGCCTCAGTTGGGAGTCAGCTGTACCTGCAAAAGCAGTCTGACTGTTTCAGCTTTTGTATTCCGTATAAGACACTGGCATCTGTAACTCAGTTCTTTTCCAGCCCACTTAATTTTAAGAATAGACACTAATAATACTTAATCCCCCCTCTCTACTTATGGTGGGGGATGGGGCCCTCTGCTTTGGCAACTGCTCACCTCGAGCAGCTTCTGCACCTTTAGACTTCCTGCTGGAAATGCTGTACATCCCTCCACGCATTACCAAAGGGGAACTGAGGCCTGGAAAGGTACAACTTGATGACCTGGTGACAAAGCTGGGACTTGAAAAGTGGAATCAAGGTTTTCAGACCAGAGTCCCTCTTGTCATTAGTCTTGGGATGATGGCCTGAAGAGGTGGCCAAGAAGTCTTGAGAGATGGATAGTGGTGGTTCCTGGTCCAGCTCTAGTCAAGGGTCCTTCCCTGTGCCTAGGAGCTAGCACAAGGCTAGCTCTCAGCAGCAGAACACAGGGCTCTCTAGGTAAGGATAGAGCAGTGCCCAACATTGGTCCCAGACCTCTACCAGGCAGGGGCTTGGCTGTGATCTCTGCCAAGCAGAGGCTTGGCTGTGACCACTGCAGTTGGGCTCAGAGGTAGGGGAGGCACTTAGACAAGCCTGGGAAAGGGGCTTCCTTCTTTGCTGAGGCCCTACATGTGGGTATAAACTGGACCAAAGGATGTGATCCATACCTCTGAAGGCCAAAACTCCAGTGTTAGCAGCAATGAACAGAATTAAGATTAGCAAAAAAGGGAGAAAATCAGAAGTCAATAGCTTCCTCTCTCAAGGTCATTGCCACAGGCAGGCTGGCCCAACAACCATATTCCTATGTTGAGATGGCACCTAGACCTTGGATTCTGGCCTCCAGAGGGCAGCCAGGCCTTCAAGGTCAGCAGTACCCAGTCCATTGTTGGTGGCCAGTCATTCTCTGAGTGACCACATGCTTAAGACGCTTCCTATCAGGAGACTTTGAGCGGGGAATCAACTATAGGGCACCAGGTCCTTCATCCCTGCTCTGGGAATGGGCTGAACACCAAGCTTACAGGTAGTGTGCCCCCCAAAGCTGGCTCCCTAACCCGCCTGCTGGAGAGTGAACTTGCCTCAGATGCTGGCAAGAGTGTGAATTCCTTTGCCTCTTCTGAGAAGGGCATGGATGCTCTGAGCAAAGCTCTGAAGGTCTTGCTGGAGCTCTTCTCTCTACAGGTAGACTAGGATCATTTCCATGGGGACCTCACAGCCAAGCTTCCTCCCACTTTTACCCTCCCCAAGAGTCTGCTAAGCCACCCATTGTTCTCTGGACCTGCCAGTGTGGCCTGGAGCAGTCCTGACCCATGCTCTGCCTTTCCTTTGGAGGCTGCTCTCTGGGGGCCTCTTTAGTCCTACTTCAGATGTCCTCCCTCTACCTGGCTTCCCTGCCTAACTTCACATACCACAGGAGCTCCCCAAGGCATCTAGGTATTGTTGCTGAGCCTCCTATCCATTGCACTAGGCATTCAGAGGTCTCTCAAGCTTCTCAGATAGAGGACAAAGTTCAACAGGGATGGACACCAGCCATAGGAGCCAGATGTGGGCTGTTGCTAGCAGACTGCTAGCAGCTTCCCCAAGGAGGTGGGCTACTGGGTTTATCCAAGTTCCTTAATTAAGCACTGTCTTCAATGACTCAGTGTGGCTACAAATATACTGAGACCTTCTGAAACATTCTAGTCCCAGAGTCTAGATGCAGTCAGACTTTGGGTGGGCCAGGAAGCCAGTGTCACCTCAGTGTCCAGGCCACAGGCCTTCACAGCCACAAAGAGATAAAATGACTTTCTTAGCCCAAAGCATGCCTTCCCAGCACCTCAACATGTCTGCCTATCAGGATCCACAGTGGGCCCAGCAGTTCTCACCTCCCCAAAAGCTGTTTAAGGCACTTAAGTGGCTTATTAACACAACATGGAAACGTCTGTTTCAATCTTGATGTAGAAAAAAAATATCAGTTAATACTGCAAATGTTTCCACACACAAAAAAGTAATATACTTAAAAATTTCCTAAGGAATAAAATAAATGCTAAGTTCTGCTTAAATTACATGACACTGTGGGTCATCTTGGCACTGACAAAAGAAGATAAAACCTGAATACTGATTCTGGATTAGACTGTTCCCTGTAATACATCTAAACACATAAACAGAAGACATACACATGTCTGATTTGACCTTCCCAGGATGCTCAAGGGAAAGAGAGCGGTCTGGAAGGCCCTGATGGCCCTAGGACATCGGCTATGAGTGGCAACAGTGGGCAGGTCCCCTGGTGCTCTTTCCAGCAAAGCCCATCTCTCCTCTTTGGGAAGCAGCATGGTCAAGCAAGCCTATCAGTCAACAAAATCCTCCCCAGCCATGGGCACAGAGAGGAGCCATGAGAAGCTGCGAGGCTTAACCTCAGGATGAGCTTAAAAGGTCGGTGAGAGGTTCCCCCAAGACATAACCCGTGTTTTTGACCAGGTTGCCAGCAGACGCCTGTGGTTTCTGGTCCTAGTCCTGGGAGTAAGAGTAGCGTACTTCTGAGCCATCTTCTCTTTGGTGAGGTCATTTTCCTATGCTTCCTTCTGAGAGTGGATCTCAGTGCTGCCTATTGCAGTTCTGTAGCTATGAAGACAGGCTGCAGCAGGCAACATGAGGGACTGGGGTGCTGACAGAGGGCTGTGAGGGTGGGCACCCCTGCCCACTACACCTTGTTGGGTCCTAAGGTCTCTGAAGGGGAAGATCGCAAGGGCTTGGGGAGGATCAGGATGGGGCAGGGGGCCTGGACCATTTAACTTCTCTGTGAGGTATTGGTCTCAAGCTCTGAGAGCCCAGAGGGCAAGTCCTGGCTTCCTGAATCTGCTTGGACATCCCCTGTACCCTGGGCTCCACTCTCTAGCAGCTCCCAGGGGTCCCTGAAGAAGACCACCATGACTGTAATATTGTCATGGGAGCCCCGCTCCCGGGCCACTGCCACCAGCTCCTCAGCGACATGGAACCCACTGCCCTTTTGTCTGACCAAGTGGCTGTGGACGAGGCTGGTAACTTCCTGGTGGGGGACAACATCAAAGAAGCCGTCACAGGCAAGCAACAGGTAGTCCTCGGAGCCTGTCAGTTCTCGGGAGGCTGCATCTGCCTCACCAGACACATAGGGCTTCTGGAAGACGTCCCCTAGGAATGAATGGACAGAAGAGCCTTGTTTCTTGCTTCCCATATGCCTAAGGCCCAACCTCACTATCCATCCCCAGCCCCAAAGGCATGCTGGCAGAGCCCAGCAGGCTCTCAAGCCCTGTATTCAGATTCAAACCTGCCTAATGCTTTCCACCCACTTTGGAGCAGGGCCATCCCTCAGCTCTACTGCAGAGAGCTCTACTCCAGCAATGGCTGTCCATCTTCCATGTATCCAGAGATACAGTGGCTGCAGCAACATGAGGAAAGAGCCAACAATACACTCCAGGAGAGTGTGAGGGGTACATGTCACAGGGGGATGGAGGGATTATTCTTGGGTTGAGTCCCAGCAGTGAAGGAATACTGAGAAAATGGGAAATGAAGCTACTTTCCAAGAGGAAAAAAGGATCTTCAGCATTTATTTTATTTTTTTGAGAAAAGAGAATCATTAGCATGAATGGGTTGAGAGAGCCTCATTTATGGAAAATTTAACCCTGGCTAATGGTTTCTTACTGTATTTTAGAGGGACCTGTTTTAATAAACAGTTAATAATAAAATCTTTCCAGTGGGGGAATAATCTTTACTACAATTATTGGTGGGACATGGAAAAATTCTCAGCTGTTTGAAGCTACAGTCCCCAAATCTGCCCTATTCCAGTTATAGTCTTGTTTGTAATAGAACCCTAGAATAGAGGGCCTCTGGTTTCCAATGTTTCTACCTATCATTATCATTATTTATTACTATTATTACTATTATTATTATTATTTTTTTGTCTTTTTGAAGCAGGATCTCCCTGTAGCCCCAGCTGTCCTGGAACTCACTATGTAGACCAGGCTGGCCTTGAACTCACAGAGATCCGCCTGTCTCTGCCTCCCAAGTGCTGGGACTACAGGCGAGCGCCACCACGCCTGGCTTATTATTTTTGAGATAAGATCTCTAGACCAGGCTGGCTTCATATTCCCTGTGTAGCCCAGGATGACCTTGAATTTGTGATCCGCCTGCATCCACCTCCTGAGTGCTGGAATTACAGGTGTGTGCAACCATACCTGGTAGTAGAGCTGAGGACTGAACCCAGGTCTTTATGCTTGCTAGGTAAGCACTCTACCAAGTGAGCCACACCCCCTCAACTTAAGGAATTTCGGCTCACAGTCAGCTGGCAATCCTGGGAGGCAATTGCTGTCATTGCCCTAGACTGATGCTGAGCTGGGGTGTGCACTAGGGTGGATCACATTCTGGACATAAAACATTTTCAGTTTATCATGGGTTTATTTAGAGGCTGCTCCACTGTAAGTCTAGAAAGTCTATATGCTGCAAATCCCTTTGGACACATTATTTTGTTCTAACCCTGTGTAAACCTGTGGTTTCCCACCCTGCACCTGTGCAACCCCTTACCAATGGCTCTAGAGACTGCTAAGGTGCCGTTGACTCTCCAGCAGTCCATGAAAGACACGAAGCCGCCCAGGGCTTCAATGCGTTCTTTCTCATCCTGCAGAGAAACAGTCATAGGTCAGAGGCCTGGATAAGACTAGGTGGCAAGGGACTGGACTCCAAAGCCACCACATAAGCAGAGCTTGCGTTATTCCTAAGACACATTTGAAGCCATAGTACTTGAACAAAGTTGGGAGGTTCAGCTATATACCCAAACCATACACCACTGAACATAGATAAGGTCAACTGTAACTAACCTAACTATCCTTCACCTGTGGGAATGGCTAAGGGACAGTGACAGCAGAAGGGCCACCCACACAACCAGCTATGATGCATCCCCAAGCAGTGTTTGGGTCAAGGAGGTGTTCCTGGAGCAGCAGAATGGTGTCAGCCCAGATTCGGAGGGTGGACCTCTCTATTGCCTCAGCTTTAACCTGGGGCTGCTGTCTCTACTTGAAAACCATTGGGATCAAGCATGTAATGTGCACATGAGGCCACATGGCAAGATTCACTGAACTTGTACCAGGCCATGAGGGGCAACCCCTTGCCCACCCCTTCCTAATCTTCCTTCTCATGCACCTCCAGGCACTGCCTCTGCTTGCCAGAGGACCATGGTGCTCCCCTAATTGCAAAGAGGATGGACAGAGGCTTGGACTAGACACAAGTCCCTTGATACTCTCTTTGGTCAGTCCCCTCCAGTCCTCCCAGATGTCAAGTCTATCTCCTGAAGGCTGTGTTAATAGCTGAGTGCACCCTTTTTCCCCTCTGGGATGAGGCATCTTGCACATCTACTGGATAAATAAGAGTATTCATATACCTATTTCACTTGTTGGGTAAACCTCCTGACTTCACAGCTTGCTTGGGATAGGGTCTCCCCGAGGAGGCCATAAAACAGGGAGCTAAGGTCTTCTAAGGTGCAGAACCTTCCTTCGGGAAGCTCCAGGCCCTGAGAGTCAGCTGTGGGGACAAGGGCAGAGCTGGGCACCTGGCCCAGTAACCCTGACAAGTAAAATAGAAACCACTAGCCAGGGCCTCTATGCCAACAGGCCCACCCTGTCTGCATGGGCGGCAGAGTAATGTGCTAGACTGGCTGGCCTTGCTGATCGTGGCCCTGTAACACAGGTCCTGTGTCTGGTCCTTCTTCTTTCAGTGATTCCCTCCTCAGTCAGCACTAATCATAGCCTTCCCCTATCCCCACACTTGTTCCAGGCTCAAGGCACCCATCATGGCCTTGTCTTCTGACACCCACCCCTTTGTGGCAATTGTCTCTGTTCCTCCTGCCTTGGCCTCTTCACCTTCTTAAAATAGCTTATATGCAGCCAAAGTTTGAGCTGATGGCCCAGCAGTTCCCATTAATAGTCACTTTAGTCACCCTTTACCCTGGGATCAGGGCTGTGCACCACAAGGCCTCAGCACCACTCACAGCAATCCTTTTGGATTCCACAGGTCCCATCCACATCTCTAACTCAAAGCCTGGACTCCTCCCTCCTGAAGACACCTTGTAGGTAGGTCCTTGATGCGACTAACCTGTAGTGACCTGTAACTGCAGATGACACCTATAACCCTCACACCCTCACTCTTTTAACACCAGTCCTTGCCCTCTAGTGGTCTGGATGTTGTGAGAGCTTCTAGTGATTCCTCACAGAATTCTTCCATGGTAGGCTCACAGTAGGTGCAGGTCAGTGGCTTTGGAGTTCCCTGGCTGCTTCTCTCATGGATACCACTGACTTGCTGAGGTCACATCCACCTTCAAGCTTCAGCCCACATCTCACCCCCATAGTTTTCTGCCGTGCTCTTCCCAGCTCTGGACCTGGGTCTTGCATCCTCGCTGCTATGGCCTCCTTCTCCACTAGAAAGAGCTCCTAGGTAGAGGATGGTGGGGCAAGTTCCAGGCCAGGTAGGACTACATAGAAAAACTTGTCTCAAAAAAACCAAACTCACTCTAGAAGAGAAAAATAAATCAAACTGCCACCTGGAGGCATTCTTGCCTTTTAAGATGGTATGCAGCAATTTCCTTCCAATTGAAATACTCTTTCTCCAAGGAGGAGAGTAGCTCACAGGGCTTATAAGCTCAGAACATTATGAGATTCCCAAGGCCCCTTCCTACCATTACATAAGCACTAACAATTGCCAGGGAGGAGAGAGAAGCCGTTTGCCTGAGCAGCCTGCAGCTGTATGGGAAGCTCTAGGGATATAGCTTTCATGAGCCTGCCAAATCTGTCTCCTGAAGGCTGCTGTTAATAGTTGAGTGCAACCTTTTGCCCCTCTGAGAGCGAGGTGTTCTCTCATGGACACTAAAATGCAGCTGTCTTCAACTCTCCTGTAAATAACCTCAATAAATGGACTGGTTCACTGAGCTAGGCTTGGGTGAACTGATTCTTTGGTCTGCCATTGGTGCTGTATCTGGGGTAGTTTGTTCATTTCTCTCCAGGAAATGTCAGGAAACAGATAGGCGTTCTCCATGGCCTGGTGGGCCTGTGGGAATGAACCCTTATAGTTGCACACCTTAGCCCAGGTTGGTCTAGCCTGAGGACAGAAGTTGGGCAAATCTCCAAGACTATAGTGTCTACTATGACTTAGCAGCTCTGCTTCAAGAAACTTGTTCTATAGTTATACCAATGTGACATTCAAAGTTAAGAATGGTTGCCATATTTTCAGAACTGAAAGAGGATCTCTCTTGGTGACTATCCATAAGGACCAGACTGTGAATGGAAGGCTATGCCATGTATCTTTAAGAAAAGCTCTTTATGTGCTGATGTGGGGGTGGTCCAATAGTATACAACTAATTAGGCGGTCCTTGATTCTAAGTGTTCCCTCTGCCTCCAAGAGACAGACTAGACATATTTGTTAGACAGTGTCTGAGCACTTATCACCTACATGTCCAAGAGAGAACCTTGAGACTCAAACTACTGAGTGATCTTAGAGTTCTGGGATTCCAGGGTGGCCTCTGCCTACTGAAGCCTCAGGCCTGAGCCCTCCCAGACCCAGTGCAAGTGGTTTCTTTGCTCACTCCCAGCCAGTAGCCATCTGTTCCTTGCCTATGTATGTTTCAGGACCTGCTAGGCTGAGCTGGCTCTACTTCCTAGGCTGCCTCTTGGGGCAGAAGGCCAAGCTCTTGCCTACAACTCTGGGCTTCACATCAGTGGGACCCACAGTCCTCTCAGGAAGGTGCTCACATCAGATCCCCTGAACACTCTAGCCAGGCAAGGGAGCACTCCCTCTGTAGGAGCACCAGGAGTCTTTAGAACCCCTCCCAGTAAACCCCAATAATACCCAGCTGGGGTACCCTGACATTCTGCTTCTCCATGAGGTTCTCAGACTTGGGTTCCCAACATGTGCCCAGCACAACAGAAGCCTGATAATGTCTGAGGTTTGGATAGAGGGAACCCCTTACCTGTCGCTCAGGTTTGTGTGGTTCCATCAGTTTTACTACCTGTCCCTGCTGCACCAGGATGACCTGGGAGTCCCCGAGCCAGGCAACGTGCAGGGTTGTTCCTGCGATGAGTGCACACACGCCTGTGGTACCACTCTGCAGTCGCTGCAAGGGGGCGGGGGGAGAGACACGTAGGGTTAAGGAGGACTGTTAGTCCCACATGAAAGAGCCCCATAGCTGCAGGATGTGATGTTTATGCTGTATGGAGAACATGTCCTACACGACCCTCTTCATACGTAACTTTGGAACTGGCAAACTGTCCTGTCCTGTCCTGTCAAGAAATAGACAAAGGAGACTGGGGATGAACATGGAAGGCCAAGAGGGGGACAGGGACAGCACAGAGCAGAAAAAAGATTTGTTTATGATGAATACATTCAATTTTGAGGCAGGAGCTTCATGGGACTATGTAACAAGTCAAAATTTACCCAACTGCATACTATAATCATGTACAACTTATTACGTATGTATTGTGTCTCTTTGGTTTTGAGACAGGGTCTCACTATATAGCCCACTGACCTGGAATTCACTATGTCAACCAGGCTGGCCTGGAGCTCAAGAGTTCTACCTGCCTCTGCCTCTTGAGTGTGGGGATTAAAAGTATATACCACTATGCCTGGGATGAACTGTAGCTCAATAACTCTGATTAAAGAAAATAAAGGGGGGGTGTGAAGAGATGGCTCAGCAGTTAAGAGCATTTGTTGTTGCTCTTCCAGAGGACTTGAGTTCAATTCCCTGCAACCATGTCAGGTGACTCACAAATCCCTATAGCTCCAGCTCCTGGGGGATCTGAGATGCCTGTGGCCTCTGTGGGCACCTCCACTTATGCACATTCCACCTCTCCCATATACATATAATTAGAAATAAAATAAGATAAAATAAAAAAATAAATAAAAGGGCCTGAAGGTGTAGATCAGTGGTAGAATACTTGTGTAACACACATGAAGCCCTAGGTTTGACCCCCAGAGAAGGGGGCCAAAGAAGGGTAGGGAATGAACTAAGTGCTTTAGAAACTCCCCTGAGCTCATCCGCATGCTTCATCTGCTGAATGTGACAGAGGCTACTAGGCCCCACCTTATAATTCTAGATGCCCCATGGCTTTCTGTTGAGGTATATAGTCTGGCTCTGCTGAACTTCCCTGAGGTCTGTGGTCAGTGTGTGCTGACTGAGTCCCTTTCCTCAGGTGTCTCCTCCCTGGGGCAGGTTTCTCAGGCAGTTTGACCATTAGTTTCCCAGTGCCTAAAATGGCTATAGCACTAGAACCTGCCCTTCGGGCTGCTAGGAGGGCCCAGTGAGGTCAGGTTTAGTTTGTACGTCTTCTTCCGAGTCTTCTTTCTGAAACAAGTGCTTTGCCCCACACAATGCTATCACTCCAAGAAGAGCAGCTCTTAGTGGATACTGCCATTACCAGCTGAGCAAGGGGCACTGGGAGTGTTAATCATGTTTTACATTTTCTGTATTTTGTGATGAATTGACATCTGGGGCCTGTTGGTCATGGAGAGACCGGCACTCCTAGGGCTGTCTAATTCCTAGAGACTTAGATGCCTGCTCTGTGAGTGTACCTTTCATTGGCACGCCAGACAATTTGAAGCCCAAGCCCCTAACACTTTCTTCTTTACCTACAGGGCCCAAGTTCTCCCTGCCTTGGATGACGTCAGGCCTGGTCCTGGACGGTTGGGGGGCATCCTTGTAGCTCAGCTGGCAGGGGTTATTCAAATGACTAAATTCTGAGCTTGCCAGGACTTGCCCGGCTGGCTGGGACTGAGACTCCCTGGAGGCCATGCTTGCCTCTCTCCCCTGTGCTTCCTGCTCGTGGGAACAGTGAACACTCACCTCTTCTTTCAAAGTAGTAGTCTCCAGCATCCTCATCTGAAGGATCAGCCTGCATCATAAGTCAGGCTGCCCTTCACTGGGTTGGCAGATCACCTGCAAATCTATGTTGTAGGGCCCCAGCATGGTGGCTCAGGGGTGCTATGGTTTGTGTGTCCCTCAAAGCTTCATGTGTTGAAATTTAATTTCCATTGTGAGGTATCAAGAGAGTAGAAACTTCAACAAACTATGGTCCTGGGTGTGTGTGGGGAGGTGGGGTTTGTTGCCTGAAAGCTTTGAGAGGTATTTGGGGTTGGATGAGGCCATGATTGGATACAGCAGAGGGCCGAGCCCCTTGTGGTTAGATCCTGGTGGCTTTATGAGGAGGGAAGCTAGAAGACAGGCAGACAGGCACATATGCATGCAATTCTTCCCTATCTCTTGTCATATGAGCCACTTTGGGAATCCGCCAGCAAGATCACTACCAAGTAAGGCCCTTTGGGCTTGCATTCCAGAACAGTGAGTCAATATAAACCTCCTGTCTTTATAAAGTGATCTAGCTTTTATCAATAATTTTGTTACAGTAATGAAAAACTAATACAAGGGACAAGCTCTGTGCTGTCTCCCTTCAAATGAAAACTGAGCCCCACTCCTGAAGGAATAAAAAAACATGATTGCCAGAATTGCTTGGTGAAGCCCTTCCTGTACCACCATCTACTTGGGTTTCTCTTGCTCTGTGGAGACCAGAACTCTTTGATGCTAACAGCTCCTCAAATCCACTTTAGAGCTAGCTGCCAGTTCTCACCTCTCGCTTGGCTTTCCAGAGAAATATTTCATCAGTGCGCCGGAAGGCTTCTTTGAGGGCTGCTGCTGGGTCCGTGGACAGCTCTGGCTGGTGGGAAGCATTGACGTGCACATGAACAGCAGCATACCTTGCAGCATCCACACCTCCATGACCATCAAACACAGCAAAATAGGCACGGTCTACAGGGTCCTGGTAGGAGTAGAGTGGGAGTCAGACCAACTAGCCCTGCATCTGACTGAGTCTAGACTACCAGCCAGCTGCTCTCATCTGGGGAGGGGTCAGCTGAGGCAACAACTAAGGTAGTATTACGGCTGCAGTGCTTGTGCCCCACAATTCATGTGTTGGAAACCTTACCTCTACAGTCTTATGTTAATGGTATCTGTAAAGGGGACCTTTGGGAGGCAACTGGGATTAATCTACTTATGGAGGAATAGACTATTAAGGAATGGCTTTTCTCCTTGGCAAACTTCTATCTTGTCCTGGGATGCCTCCACTACCCTGGTGCTCTGCAGAGCCCCCACTGGTAGGCAGGCCCTCTTCAGTGGCAGCCCCTTGACCCTGGGCTTCCCAGTCTCCAGAGCTGTAAGAAATAGATTCCTTCTGAAGGACCCAGCCTCAGGTATCCTTTTATAGCAAAACAGATCCTAGAAAGGTAGGGTCTGGAAGAGTCAGCATGGCCCTTACCATTGGACTAGTTAACTGGCTCAAATACTATAAGCAGCAAAACTTGGAAGAGGACAGCCCCGGGAGCCTCATTTTCACCAGTGTTCCAGGTTGTTGCAAGTATAACATGAGATGGGATGCAGAGGCTTCTGCTGCTGGAGGCTGAGCAGGGCTTAGCAATTCAAGTCTGAACCTGGCACCTGGCTCTTCTTAAAAAGACATAATCAATGGCTGCCTTTCTTCAGTCTTTGGATGTGGAAAGCAAGGTGCCTGGAAACCAGGCCCAAAGGTCCAGGGCAGTGCTCTGAGAGCTGCCCAGCACTCAGCCCCAAGACAGCAGCTTCTCACTATTTCCCCAGGCTCAGTTTTGGTCAGCAGTTATCTTGGCACTCAGAGTCCCCAACTCATGCTCTAGGCGCCCTATGTTATACTGCTTATCCCCAGGAAGGTAGAACACTCACAGACAAGCCGAAGAGGTGGTTGAAAGTAGGAAGGGACACATGCCGATCCTCCATCTTGCGGCGGGTATTCCGGATGGCATGGATGGATACCAGCCACTGCCGCTGTGGGGTCTGGGCAATCGATGGCACCTGCTTCTGCCACTGGTTACATACTTCCCACAGTTGGTTAAAGAAACTTCGTGCCAGGCCTTTGGCATCCAGTACTGATGGGGATGATGGGGGAATTTTTAGGAAAGTACAAACTATTCAGCTAAGGCCTCACTGACTCTCCGACATCCATTTTTTGCCATGTCCCTAGGCTTTTGAGATAGCCCCTCCCACCAGCCTCCATGGACCCCCATGCTGAGCACAGCAACCTAAAAAACCTGCATGATAGCTTGGTGCTGGTGATGAGAAATGTCTGGTAGTTGCCCATTAATTGGAAGTGCTAGGGCTGAAGAGATGGCTCAGCAGTTAAGCACACTGGATGCAGAGGACTCAGGTTTGTCTCCCAGCATCCACATGGTAGCTAACAACTGTCCATAACTCCAGTTCCGGGGGATCTGACGTCCTCTTCTGATGTTTGCAGCCATTGCATGACACAGGTGTACTTACCTACATGTAGGCAAAACACTCATACATATAAAATAAAAATAATAAAATATTTTTTGAAAAAGAAATGCTGTATGTTCAATGACAGAGGAATAAATGAATTCTGGTCTATTCTCTTGATGAAAAAAATTAAGCTGCTATTAAAAATGATTTTTCCTTAACTAATCAGGCACTACCATATAATCTAGCAAGTAAACCTTAGGCATCAATCCCAGAAAAATGCAGACTATTCACACAAGAACTTATACATGAATCATACCTGCTTGATCTGCCCAGATTTTTTTCAATCTACAGATAGTTAAATGGCTATACCTTGGATTATGACTTAGCAATGGACAGAAAGAGCTACTAGTAAGTGGAACCACCTACGTCAGTCTCCAGAGAATTATGCTGAGTGAAAACCATTGATCCATAAATGTTAGATATTATATAATTCCACCAACAGGCATTCTTGAAATGACATTATAGAAGTGGAGAAAATTAGTCATTGCCAGTAGTTAGGACCAGGGTATGATGGGAGAGGAGTGTCAGGGTGGCCAGTTAGAGGGTGCTAAGAAGTGTCCTTGTGGTTGTGAAACTGTCCTGTTTGACTATGTTAAGATCTTGTAGGTGATATACTACCAGCTTTGCACAATGTCACCGGAGATGGCTCTGCATTATTTCTTACAATTAATTACATGTGCACATATGATTATTTCAAAACAAAGTTCATTAAAAAAAAAAAAAAAGAAGTATGGCTGGGGATGTAGCACATTGATCGAGTATTTGCTAGCATGGCAGAGGCTTTGGGTGAGATCCCTAGCATCAGAAACAAAAACCTAAGTGGCAACACAGAAATACCTTTTTACAAAGTTTACAAGAATGTACAATGTTTGTCATAATTTTAAATGAGAAAAGGGTAGCAAATGCGATATAGATTAGTTACAAGTACACAAAAAACCTCCTTGGTCCCAGAAAAAAAGGGCAGAAATGACATTTGCATAGTCAAGATGTAGGCAGTAGGTCTCTGGAAGGGCTGGTTCTGTGGGCACAGTTTTTTTCTATATGTACAATGTCTGAAGGCTTTTCCATTTTTCCATTACAAATAGTTGTTTTGAGTTTCTGTTGTTTCTCCTTTCAGTGGGTGGAGCTCAAGTCAGTTCCCCAAGTATCAGACCTGGTAAGCTGCTGAACAGAATGAGGTGGGAGTGGCCACCTGAGGTTTCATGCCCAAGGGTGCTGTGGGCTCCTCCTTACACACATGCTTCCTCCCCTGTGACAGAACATCTTGGCAACAGATTTTCCAGAGCAGGGACATCCATATCCCCACAACCTCGGGAAACCCTGAGCCAAATCACCCACCTAATTAAGGACTCAGAGAAATCATGGGCCTGTTGTTTTAAGCCATTAAAGGTGGGACCAATTCCTTACATAACAACAAATAATATACCCTACAACATTGATTTTAAAAGAAAAAAGTCCCACAAAGCCTAGCTTCTAAAGAAAAGATCACCAAGGACAGAGTCCAAAGGAGACTCAGGAGCTAAGCTTTCAGGCCTCACTTCATTCCAATGCACAATGCTCTTCCAGGACTCCTGTCAGTCCTGGTGCATGTGGCAGGTATAAATGAGTCAGAGTCATCACTTAAGAGGGGTGTTCAAGTTCAGGCAACTGAAAACAAGACAGAGTCCAAGCATCACAGGCCCTACCAACTGGACATGGAGAACTGGGAGAAGTGTTCTTAGCCAGGAATATGGCTGTGGAATAGGAAAAGAGCTAAGGCCAGGGGAAGCCAAGAAGAAGAGCAAAGGCCAGAAGGTCTGTGAACACAGGAGGCCACAGAAGGATGAGCCCATTCAGAATCCTCCATCAAGGCTGGGGGCAGAAGCTAGCATCTGCTGCTGCCACCATGTCCAGGACCGGGCACGTGTAAGCTCTTGACAATAGCCATGGGCCTGGCAGGGAAAGGCTGAGGAGCGGGAGAATTGACTTTGTTGGGCCCAGCCTACATCTGACTTAGTGTACCTTATGATGAACTTGGGAGTTCCTTGTTCATCTAGTCTTCAACTGCATCACTTCCCAGGCTCTCTCCTCTCTTCTATAGAAGGGGATATTCCTAAAACCACCTGGAATGCTGCTGTGGGTTCCTTCTTGCTTCTGGAAACTGCTGACACTTAGGTTTGGAGCATGGGGGTATCCAGACCTGGGCTGCTTCCTCTCTTGCCTTGGGTCACATTGCTTCTATTTCCATCAGTAGGTTTGGACTTGAACCTTGCTCAAGCAAACAGCAATTAAAAGTGAGGATGACAAGCCCTACAGCAATGCCTAGTCCTTGGGCTCTTGAAGTCTGGGCCTGCTGCTCTGGTCAAGGGCTATAGTCCTGTACCTCAGAAACTGCCTGGGAGGTCTGTCTACACAACTATCACTGGGAGGAGCTGTCAGGTAGGCACAGAGATGCTAAAATCACATCTCTTCCTGTGGTGTAGCAATAAGCCTCACAGTCTGTGCAGGTACAGTTGGGCAAGGCTGGCTTGGAGAATACAGACTTGCCAAGAGGGCTCAAGGCCACTAGTTCAGGCCTGGGATAGACTGGCAGGGCAGAGCAGGCTGCAATTTCCCTCTGGCTGTGTCCCTCCCTTCTCAGGCCTCTGGTGTAGGGCTTGGCCTTGCCAACTGCAGAAGTTCTTCTTCCCACCAGCAGGTGACACTGTCTCCTGCTTGAAGGGGTAATAGGGGTGGGGTTGGAAGGTGGGGTGCTTTCTTTGTGGGGCCTTGGTGGCAGCTGCCACCAGGCCTGAAGCCTGATGGCTTTGCAGAGAACAATAGCTGCCTGTCACTGGGACAGCTGTCTCTCAGGCAGGGAGACAAAGCCATGCTGGGATGGAGGTTGGCAGGGACCAGAGGGAGGGGGAATGGCTGGTATGCACTGGTGCTAGAGGCTGCATGCTTGTTTCTCTTTTCTTCTACTGTGTTCCTTGCTTTTCCTTCCACACATGCACTAATGCTGAGTTTAAAGTCACACAAAAGGAATAGCAATGGGAAAATCTGCTTTCTACCACCTGGAAAACAAGCCCCTTGTGGGTCATCTCCTGTGACCTACCATTTTCCTTTCTGGTACTTCTTGTCTAATGTAAACCAACACCACCTCGGTGAAAAGGAATGAAAAGGACTAACTAGGAAAGAGTTACGCAGAGTAAGAGGCAGCATTTTCTCTGCCAAGTGGCTTTGTGGTCTCTTGGCACTCATCTCTAGTTTCTGGCTTCCTCTGATTATGTATGCTGTGCCACTGCAGGGCCTGGCTCAATGATACACATCTATTGCTATCATCACACAAAGATTATGAATGCTGACACCTAATGGTCCAACTAAGGTAAATCAAGGCAGTTCTGGTGTTTTCTGTCACCTAGAACACAATGATGTACCCTGCAATGGATGGGCAAACATACCACTCTGCTGCCTGTCCTCAGGTCAGCTGAGGGATAGTAGTAAGTATATGTTACACGAGCAGCAAGTTGGCTGCCTGGCTGTGAGCCAGCACCTCAGATTCCCCATGTGTAAAGCAGAACAAACATCACTTGTTTCCAAGGGTTCTAAAGTTTACGTGAGGTAAGACACAGGTGGTGCCTGGTGCCCACCAGATGCCTGTCTCACTAGTTGGCTCTGGGCTGGGCACTGGGCATAGTTCCTACTGCAGGCTTCCTGCTGCCATTTTGTGTTTTCTCTGTACTTTGACCTTGCTGCCTTCATAGTACTCTGGCACTGACCCTTAATGTCATTCTGACTGTTACTTGCTAAGCAGCTCCAGAGTCATAAGAGAGGAAAGGGAACTCACAGGTTACAAGGACTTTCTCTTCTTCCTCATCCTGATCCTCCTCTTTTTGTTCAGGCAACTTCTTGAATTCAGAAAGGTCTGTTTGTAGCAGCTGGGAGATCGCCTCGTGGGTCAGAGCTGCAGCAAGTGGGGGTGGAACGTTCCTAGGGAGGAGATAGGAGAGGTAGGGCTGGGGTACCTAAGCTGGGCACACTCCAGCTTGGGATGTAGACTATGGCTTGCATCTCACCTCCATCACTATGAGCAAGTGATCTCTGCCCTCAGGGAGCTGGAAATAGATGTCTGCACAACACCCATAGGCAGATGCACATCATCCAATAGGATATACTGGGAAGGTATCCCCGAGGCATGTAAGCCTCACTAGCCAAGAACCTGCCCAGATGTTTAAGTTGGTGACTTGGGTAAGGGCATGTCATAAAACTGTACCATACCCCCATATTCACATGTGGAAGGCTGAACACCCAGTGTTTCAGATGGGCTCAATGAAGTCATAATTGAGTGGGCTGGGCCCCTGCTTCTATATGATTGACTTCTTTGGGAAAAGAGGGGAAATACAGACACATACACACATGGGGAGAAAGCCATGAGGATATGACAGGGATGTTCTCTTCTGTCCCCAGGGGGCCCCGTCCATCAGGAGTGTTAAGCCCCACCCCCTTACCAACAGGACCTCAGGGACCTCACAAGCCCCTGAGAAAAGGGGACCAAGTTAATAAGCGCCCTGGTCTTTGAAGTCAAGAGAAGCAGACTTTTCTCCACTGTTTGGCCAATACAGCAGGCTTCCCCTTTGATTTCTAAAGAGGGCAGGTTTTAACAGTCCTGCTCTCCCGCTCCCCACCCCCCAACTTAAAAAAAATACATACATCTTCCCGCCTTCTGTACCACTCCCAGAAGCCTCCCCCTATAAAAGATCACAGCTCATGACCTGGGGCAGACATTTTCCATGCCCGGAAGGGAATCTGTCCCATGTGTTCCTTTGCTAATAAACTCTATTCCGCTGGAGTTTTATCTGTGTCCTGGTGCTTTCTCCCGATCAACCAGATTCATCCATCCCCTACTTTATCTATCAGACTGCCTATGACAGGAGTGCAGACTGTCAGGAGGACCCAGCTCTGCTGAATCTCTCTAATCCATCTGGCCTTCATCCTATGAGGCTGTGATGAGTCTGATATTTGGCACACACATGCCTGGCTTGTGTGTATGTGGGGTATGCATGCATGTATACACAGACCCACACCCACACATACCTACAGAGGTTAGAGGAGGACACTGTGTGTCCTGCTCTATCACTCACCACTGTATTCCTTTGAGACAGAGTCTCTCACTGAACCTAAAAGCTCATCATTTGGAATAGGGTGGCTAGTGAGCTTCTGGGATCTGCCTGTCTTTATCCTGCAACACCAGGATTACAGGCATATGCAGACACCCCCAACTTTTATATGGGTGCTGAGGATTCAAACTCAGGTCCTCAGGATTGCACAGCAAGCACTTTTTAGTCCCAGCTGATTTGGAACTTGCTATGTAGACTAGGCTGACCTTGAACTCACAGAGATCCACATGCCTCTGCCTCCTGAGTGTTAGGATTAAGGGTATGTGCCACCATGCCCGGCTTCAGCAAACAATCTCAAGCCATCTTCCTAGCCCTTTTACTGATCTTTATTTTTATTATTTTTTTTGGGGGGTCTTTTTGAGACAGGTTCTCCCTGTAGCCCCAGCTGGCCTGGAACGAGCTATGTAGACCAGGCTGGCCTTGAACTCAGAGAGATCTGTCTGCCTCTACCTCCCAAGCGCTGGAACTAAAGGTGTGCTCCGCCACGCCCGGCTTACTGATTTTTTTTTTTAAAACACAGGGTGTCATGTCGTCCAGGCTGTCTTCAAGCTTGCTATGTAGCCGAGGCTGATCCTGAACTCCTAATCCTACCTCTGCCTCTCAGGGTAGAGTACTGGGATTACAGTCATGCACCATCATGCTTGGCTGACTCAGGGAGAGACCTCTGGAACTGCTTCTGAAAAGCAAACAGCTAAGATGGGGTACAGTTCGATGACAGAGCATTTGCCCAACATGCTGAGCTCTGGGTTGGACTCCTATCACACTCTTGCTACACATCCCACTCCCAAATAATAAAGAGAGCATTTTTGAGTAATGAGTTCCTCTGCCTTTGGGCATTTCCTGCCAGTCACTGGGTTTTCCCATTTCAGGGCAGGGAGAGGGTGCTTGCTCTCTTTAGTCCTGGTAAGGTCCTGGTGAGGTCATGCTCGGTTTCCTGCCCACTGGCTGCTGCTGCTGCTGGGGCAGGGAGGTGGCTTCCGGCCATGGAGACAAAGACAATGCTTGGCCTTCAGCCACGAGCACCTCCTTCCTGGACAAGTCTTCCACCTCATTCCAGGGTCCCACCCATGGATGTGTCCTGAAGGCCCTCAGTTTTGTCACTGTACCATGAATACCAGCCCTGATTCTGGAACTCCTAAACTTGGCTAGAGGATGCTGCTGGGTACCTAAGAAACATCTACCTCAAGGGTTAGAAGGAGCCTGTAATGTGGCAGGAGATAAAAATCACGTCTAGATAATTACAGGGTAAGCTATGCAGTGCTCAGGGACCCAAACATGTGACAACAAAACCACTAACAGTAAGTGGGGAAGAAAGGAAAGGGATGAGCAGAGCCCAGAGGCCAGAGCTCTGACTTATGGTCCTGGAGGAGATACCAGTTAAAATCTGAAAAAAAGAGCTTGTAGACCAATATATTCTAAGCCCTTTGTACCCACAAGACTTAGGCTGTGGGGACAGGAAGCAGAGAATGATGGTCTGTGAGGTACCAGTGACCATGTGTGTACACATGTGCAAATGTAGCCTATATATGAAATTCAGATCCACAAGTAATGATGACACCTACCCATGTCCACATGTAAGAGAAAATGCTAGAAGAGAACAAAACAAATCCATTATGATAGCTGGAAAACAGAAGACCTAATAAAGTACTCTACTAAAGTTTGAGGACACATTTTAAGGTCTGCTTGGGTGGACACACATAGAGTCTAAGAAGGTTCCTGGGGAGCTTGGTGCCACCCTGTCCAGCTGCCAGTCCAGGTTTTTTACCCCTTTCTCATCATTAATCACTAGTGTGAACATCAAGTAACTCCTAGTTCTTCCTTAATCACATGAAGTTCCACTGACCTGAGGCTCTGCACTCCACTGCACCTAAAGGATCCTCCTCAGCCCATCCACAGGTAGGCCATTTGCTACTGCTGGCAGCTATCAATGACTTCCACACCCTTCCTCCTCCCACTTCATTACTGTAAAAACAACACTAGCCCCTTCTATCTGGGTTCCCTCAAGACAAGTGTCTGTTCCATACCCCATATGGCTGGGAACCAAAGGCTCACCTTTCTAAGGCCTGCTGCCAGTCTGTTCCTCTCCTGCACCTATACCCCAGCTTAGAGGCCCTGCAAACCCCTAGGCTGTAGGGTCTGGTCCCTAGCTTAGGCCATATTTACTTGTTATCTCAGCAGGTACCTTTCCCAGGCAGCTTCCTCCCTCCTGCTCCAGTCCTTCTAGGCCTGGCTTTCTTCCTGAATACTCTTGAGGCTTGCAGGTAGCAAGGCCCCTTGTCATCTCCTCAGAAGATCCAGCAGCTTCTTTCTGTTACCCTCAGAACTGCCTTAGTTCCCTAGCTCCTAAGTGCTGCTGTGCTGCTCTGTCTCCCCTTAAGAGGACAGAATTTAGGGGCCTCCCCTCATTTCCCACCCCCAAAGCTTCTGAGCATGAAATGGTCAGTTCTATCCCACCTTGGAGCATGAGTCACTTTTTACCACCTGGATCTAAAATATTTTTCCCTAATCAGTTAGCAATACCGTTTGCACATGCCTCATATTCATGGAACATGGTCACAGAGCATTGCCCCCTGAGCCATGGGGCTGTGGGGTTCAGGATGGACATGGCTCTGGAGCTAGCTGCCTGTGAGTTGTCTACTACACTGTGATCCTAACAACCATGGCAGGGAGGATGGAGTTCATGGGCACCAAGGAAGCAAAGGCATTTACTCAGGGGTACAGAGGTGGTAGTAGATTCAGATTGGAGGCTGTTGGGGGAAGTAGGGGCCACTGTCACAGATCTCAGATATCTGCAGAAGACTCATGAATGATGCTGAGACTAAGGACCATGGGCTTACTCCCTTGGGGAAGGGCAAGGTTCATGTGCCTGCCAGTCTTCCCACTTCCATGAGCTATCCCTTTGACTGACAGAGCAGCTTAACTCCAAGAACATGCACCTGTCTGAGCAAAGGGGTTCAGAAATGGGACCATTCTTTACCATCTTTCATGGGACAAATACTTGGAGAGTGGATGAATAAAGGAAGGGGAAGGGCCCAAAGGTCCAGTATGGCTCTTCTGAGAAGGAAACCTGAGGTTAGCCTGAGAGACTAATCTTGTAGCTGCTTACAGAACCACTGCTGCTCTTCTCTCTGACAGTCTAGAGTGGTTGTGCTCCCTCTCTGTGCACTTCTTTCATCTGTGAGACGGAACAGCACCAGCTGTCTCTTGGATTGTGGTGATTTGGGGACCATATGGCCCTGCCTTACTAGTCCATGAGGCCAGTTCTGTAGCCAAATTGCCTCTGCCTTCTGCCTGCAAAACAGACAGAAACAGAACCTACCTCTGAGCACCTAGAGTGGGTTTTTATTGTGCACCTGAATTGAAAGACATGTTTGAAGTTCTAACTCCAATGGCCCAGAATGTGACTTGATCTGGAATTACAGTTGTTTTTTTTTTTTAAATTATTTTTATTTTATGTGTATGTGTGTATTGCCTGCATGTATGTAAGTGTACCCGTGTCGTGCAATGCCCGAGGAGGTCAGAAGAGGCTGTCGGATCCCCTGGAACTGGAGTTATGGATAGTTGTTAGCTGCCATGTGGGTGTTGGGATTCGAACCCAGGTCTTCTGCAAGGACAACCAGTGTTCTTAACCGCTGAGCCATCTCTCCAGCCCCTGGAATTACAGTTTTTATAAATGTAGTTACAGTAAGATGTAACTTACTGTTAAGGGTTAAGTAAGTTACTTGTAGTAGAGTGGCCTCTAATCCAATATTCAACATGACGGGTGTCCTTGCAAGGAGGGAAAAAAAAAATGGCTGGGGAGATAGCTCAGTTAGTAAAATACTTTGCTTATAAAGCATGAAGACCTGAGTTTAGATTCCCTGAAGCCATGTAAAAATCTAGGCACACACCTGTAATCCCAATGACATCAAGATGGGAGGCAGAGACATGGCAGTCCCTGGAAGCTTGAGGGTGAGCTAGCCTGGCCTACATGGTGAAATGAGACCAATGAGAGACTATCTCAAACAAAAGTCCCTGAGAACTGACACCTGAGGCTGTTGTGTGTGCATGAGTACTCACACACACACACACACACAGCAGAGAGCAGACAAGGAGAATGCCACATGATAGTAAAGACAGTATCAGGGAGGCGAGTCTAAAAGCCTGGGACCACTCAGCAGTCATCACCAGAGAAAGGCCTACAACAATCTTCCCCTGGCCTTTGTGAGAGCCAGGCCCTCGTCTTGACTTTTCATTTCTGGCCCTTAGAACTGTTAAAGGACAAACTCTGGTTTTCAGTTGTCCAACTGTGGCAGCCATGGGACAGTGACACAGCAACACTGCCACTCTTACGTTTTACTTTTTGTCACTTCACTTGTAGTTAACAATTGTTTGAAAATATCAAATGGAAACTTGCAGGACTAAACTATTCCTAACTTACATTTCGCATCACCCTGAGTAGCATGTACTCATCTCTCCTGGAACAAGAATCACTTCTGGCTAGTGCATCTGCCCTTGAGTCACTTATGAGCTGTTGTGGTACTGTAGTCTTCAAAAAAAAATCTTTATTTTACTTAGTAATAGCCACAAAGCACAAGAGTAGCAATGCTTCTTCAGATAGAGCAAGGAGAAGCAGTCAAGTATTTCCTTTAAATGAGATAGTGGAAGTTCTTGACTTAATAAGGAAAGAAAGCCAAATATCCATAAAAACCACATACTGAGATTGCTAAGATCTATGTAAGACGAATCTTCTGTCTGTTAAACTGTGAAAGACAAAGAAACGGGCTAGTGTTGCTGGGTGCTTACTTAGGAGGAAAAGGTGTTGAATTTAGGGCTCAGTACTCTGAGCCTTCAGGCCTCTGCTGGAAAGTATCCCTTGATGACCATACCACTTGTCATGGGGCTTAGGGAGGGTCAAGGTCAGAACTGGACAGACATGTTGCACCTTGCTTCCCTTCTAATTCCTGCATGTTGAGGGAGCCCAGGCCTACCTGCTGTTCAGGAAGCCCAATGCCAGCTCAGCCAACTCAGCTTCCACCTCTTCTTGTCTCAGCACTGTCCCTGGGGCCTTCCATGGCAAAGAGCTCTGCAGGCTCAGTGGGGCTGGGAAGTCTTGAAGGAATGTGTCCAGGAAGCCTGGGATCTCTCTGTCACAGGACATCTGGCTGTTGTTCTGTAGGGTTCCAGAGGCCATGCCCAGTACATCCCGGGCGGGGGAGGGGCTTGCAGCCAGGCTGGGGTGAGCTGGTCTCTAGTCAGTCTTCACTCTGGGGAGAGATGTCAGAGTCAGCAATCATAGGGTGTCAGGCTCCCTGGGATATGGAGTGCAGCTGTCCTGCTTTGTCTCCTTCAAGACCCAGGCCTCATAGTTCAGCGAGCACTAGTAAGTGGAGTGGTAATTCCAATTAGCATCCTGACGTGGTTGTCTAAGTGGAGACACATGCATGTCCAGAGAACAGCTTCGGGAGATGGTGTCTGAAGCAGAGGCTGTGAGAACATCTCAAAGAAGTAAAGAAGGGAATGCATGTTCCCAGCAGAGGGTGGCTGGCACGAGCATGGGCAAGCAGGAGAGGGATACTGGGACCGGGCAACCAAGGCAGGTAAAGAGATTCAACTGGATTTCAGGATCACAGTATCACAGTAGACAGGAAAGCTCAGGGATGAGGAAATGATGCCAGCATATTTATGTGCTCAGAACTGGAGACCAGCTGGGAGGAAGAGATGTGTGCCAGGCTACAGAGATGGTGAGAAAAAGAAAAGCCAACATGCAGGGCAGTCAGTACAGGGCTATTTGGGAGATGGAGCAGGAATGACTCCTCAGATGCCACTGGGGCTGCCTGAGGAGAAGGCAGGGAAGAAGCAGAGTTGGGGCGGGGCGGGGGAGGGCGGTTTGGCTTTGGGACATGGTCAAATCTATTCAGTGATAGTAGGAAGAGTGAGTCAAGTGCTTAGAATAGTCCAGGCCTCTGAAGCCCAGGCTGGGGACATAGGCTTCTACCTCTTCCCACATAAGGATACTGAGTACTTCATAGCTGCCAGGCCCTGGGTGTTGCTCCAAGCACTGCAGAGCTCCTCACAGATGTGAATACCTGACTTAGAGAAGGTGGTCCTCTGCAAATGGTCTCAGGATGAGGCTAGGACTTGAAGGAATGCCCGAGCCTGAGATTGTCACCACCCTTGCTGATCCTCTCACATTTGAGATGCATAAGCATCTAGAATCCTTGCAAGCCCATGGCTGTGCTCTGGCTTCTTCCCTGGGGAGGGATTCGAGCTTTCTTCTGGCTTGAATCTACCTCTGGCATGGTCAGCTAGCCTCTTCATATTCATGCTCCGTCTTTTAGGCTGGTCCTCTAGTCTGTCACCTCTTTAGACATCAGAGGGCCCACATGAATTCCTGCCTTTCCTTTACAATCATCCAGACCCAAATAACATGAGTGTCTTTGCATTACATCTTGTTTTTTCTTCTTTTGCTGTGCTGGGAATTGAGCCCAAGGCCTCATGCATACCAGGCAAGTCCAATGCCACCGAACTGCACATCAATCCCTTCTACCTTCCTTGTATGATATCCTGTGATATACTTTGGTCCCCCTTTCCTCATCTGCTCTCCTTGATGTTCCAGGGCAGCCTCTCCAACCCCACCTCCCACCACACAGCTGGGTACATCACCTCCCTACCAGTGTCTGCTCACACAGGGCCCCTCTCTGCTGCCCGTTTCTTGGCAGGTACACCACAGGTGTGGTGCTGCTATTTCCTCCCTCTAGCCTTCTCAAGGCTGTGGTGCCTCTATTTAATACCCAGGCTTAGGAACATTCTTCAGGAGAGTTTGATGTGTTTACCACCAGAGGAAACAAATGGTGATCTTTAAGATGTAAGACTCTGAGCACCCCAAGTTCTAGGTAGGAGAATGTGGAGGTCAGTCTCATAATCCATCTTCCTACTGAGGCCTTCCAGATTCTAACTACTAAATGGACCAGGTAGAAAGACAGGACACTCTGAGAATCACTAGTCTTAGAATATCCACAAATGGTGCCTCCAAACTTTGCCAAAAGGGAGGCTGAGGGCTGGGGTCTGAAACTGAAAGGTGGGGGAATAAGAGCTAAGGAGAACTAACGGCTCAGAGCGCACACCTCAGCAAAGCCTGCTCTTATTTATGATTGCTAACTTTATAACAAAGCCTCTGGAAGAATAAAGATTAGGCAAGATGAGCTCAGTTGGTAGGACTATTTGCCTAGCATGCACAAGGCTTTGGATTCAACCCTTAGCACCATGTAAACTGAGTGTGGTGGTGCATACCTGTAATCTCATCTCTGCAGGTAGAGGCAGAAGGGTTAGAAGTTTAAGGTCATCCTGGGCTACTTGGAGAGTCCTAGGCCAACCTGGGATACATAAGGCTATCTCAAACATAAAACCAAACCAAACCAAAGAAGAAAAGTAGTGGATGTGGGTGGGATCTCAACATCAGGTTAAACAGCATTTGAGATAAACAAAAAGAAAGGTGTGGTGTGGCGGTTAATACTGTCAACTTGACAGGACCTGGAATTCCTGAAGAGACCGGCCTCTGGGTGTACTTGTGAGGGACTGTCTAGATTAAGTTAGTGGAGATGAGAAGCCTCATTCTAACTGTGGGCAACATTCTACTGGCTGCATAAATGAAGAAAGCTAGTGAGCACTAGCATTCCTCTTCTCTGCTTCCTGACTGTGGGTGCAATGTGACCAGCTGCCTCCTCAAGATTATGCTGCCATGACTTTCTCACCATGATGAACTGTACTTCCTGAAATCCAAGCCAAAATAAGCCCTTCTTTCCTTAGGCTGCTTTTGTTAAGTATTTTGTCACAGCAATTATAAAAGTAACTGATACAGGCGATAAAATAAAGAAAAAAAAGCTAAACCAACCAACCAACCATAACAACAAAACCCTTTTTCAAGATTATGCTGCCATGACTTTCTCACCATGATGAACTGTACTTCCTGAAATCCAAGCCAAAATAAGCCCTTCTTTCCTTAGGCTGCTTTTGTTAAGTATTTTGTCACAGCAATTATAAAAGTAACTGATACAGGCGATAAAATAAAGAAAAAAAAGCTAAACCAACCAACCAACCATAACAACTTTTGGGGGGGGGGGTCTTTTTGAGACATGGTCTCCCTATAGCCCCAGCTGGCCTGGAACTTACTGAGACCAGGCTGGCCTCAAATTCACACAGATCCACCTGCCTCTTTAGTTTTTAAAGAAAGATACATACAAAGAATATATAGATTGGTGGTGGCACACATCTATAATCCCAGCATTCAGGAGGCAGGGGCAAGAATCTGTCACAAATTCGAGGCCAGTCTGGTCTACATAGCAAGGTGAGAAGTTCAAAGTTAGGCTGGGCTACAGGGACCTTGAATAAAAAAACCAAATGGCCTGCCACAGAGATGGGAGTTGGTGCCATGACCTATAGTGTATGCTTGAAGGCTAAATAGGAAAAAGCAAAGTAACTTGGTCAAGGGAAAGCACTCAGATGATGGGCTTTCTGCTGCCACCCACAAGCAGAGGGACTTGGAGACCATGCAGTAGAAGCAGAAAAAAGGCAAAGGAGGCGAAGGAGGAACCTAAGCAGCTCTGTGGCTTTGTGTCGAACCCTCTTGCCCTTCACCTGTGTGCCTGGAGCCACTTCTACCATGCCTCCATTTCCTCCCACAGTGCTTATGAGCTCAAGCACTGCCATCATTCCCTTTGCACTGATCTGCTGGGGGTTGCTTTTGCCCTTCCTTTTCCTCAGGTTAGCTTCTCTCCCAGGGACTACTCCTGGAAGTGAGGGGGTTACTCCTTTTCAGTGCTTTTGTAAAAAACAAACAAAAAAATATCAAAATAGGAGTACTTTTTATTGAATGTTACGGTTTTAGAGCTAAAATTAATTGTTTACATTTTCATTTACTTATGAGTAAATAAAATGTAGTCTGTATTACAAAGAGCAAGCAGGTAAAAAAGATAATGAGCTGGTGGGGAGGAGGGGTAAATGGACAGCAGAGAGGTAGGCTGCCTGCACATTCAGAGCTTCAGAGCAAGAGGACAGGAAGATGGTAAAAACTTCCCAGCAACCTCAGAGCCCTAGAGCAGGGGACCAAGCCAAGGGTCATGCTGTGTCCCATCTACCAATTGCTCTGGTCTCCTTAGTATGCAAGGATGGAGAGTGACTAGTGCAAAGCTGCTCCTAAGCAACTGCCAGCAATTGGATTATGCTTGTTCCATGCAATACTATGAGATCTGGAGGCACTGAAATCTCCAGCAGTGCTACATGGGCTCATACAAAGTTATAGCTAAGATCAAAGTGAAGGACGGCATGCTCACACCAGAGTACAGAGAGCCCCGACTGGCAAAACTTTAGATCCTTCATCTTTACCCTACCTGCTGCTGTCTGCATGTTTAGGAAGTCTGATGCCTCTTTCTAACGTCTGTCCCTGGGCTGTTTCCTTTACACAGACCCTCTCTCCACAGTCCACCTGTTCTCCTTGGAGTCTGGACCTATCTTCTCTGTACCGCAGTACTACACATCCATTCTAGCAAGCCCTTCATGTGCCTGGCTATGCACCTTCTTCCACTACCCTGTGCCCTCTGCTCTAGGCTCAGGATAGCGTAAGCCCCAACGCCATCTGAACCATGCACGCTGAGTGGAGCAGGGTGGCAAGGCACATGGTTTCACACCATGCTCATATGCAAAGCTGTCTGCATCTGCTGGCTTGTTCTCAGGGCCTGCATCAACTGTATACTTCCACTAGAAAGGCTGTGTGCGCAGAGAAGCTTTACCTGCTATGGCCACTCTAGGCTCATTTCTGCACTGTGAAGATTGGTCCTGAGTTGAAGGAAAGGACCAGGCCATAGTTTTCCTTCTTTGGGGCCCAGCTGAGGTAAAGGAAAAGAATAATATCCTTTCCTGTCCTTCTTCCCAATAAACTCCTGAATCTGATGCATGTCTTTCTAATACGAGCAAGACAACCCTGCCTGGGAAGCGTGACACAATACAGACAGTGGCAGGAAGGACATAATACAGACAGTGACAGGAGGGACTGGCAAGGGACACAGTACTTCTGGGATCACTGGAGGAGGTGCTAAGCTGGTTGGTAGGCAGCAGCTGGACAAAGGAGTCTGAGGAGAAATGGAGGTGGGGCAGGAACAGAAGTGCTGGGCCTGGTATAAAGCTGCTGACTTCATGGTGTCCCCACACTAGCAAGGGGATCAGAATGGAAAGGACACCAAACTCCTGACTTCCACCCCTGGTCTGGCCAAATGTGAAACTTGGGTGGTTTTCCCTGGCTCCAGGACTAGCGCCCCTCTGTATTTCTTATGAGCTGGCAGTCATAGGGTTAGGGCTGATAGTGCTACCAGCTGTACCCACAAGGGCCCTGGAACACCATCCCTGCTCTGAGCATGCAAACATTTTTTTCCCCTGCTCCGGAGCTGAAGACCAAACCCAGGGCCTTGCGCTTGCTAGGCAAACACGTTACTACTGAGCTAAATCCCCAACCCCTGAGCATGCAAACTTTTAACCCAAAAGCCTTACTTTGACTATCTCTAAGGTACAGGCTGTAGCATAAAAGCTAAGGCCTTGTCCTAAATCTCTGGGTGGGGCTCCCATTGGGGAACCGGTCCTTGTAAAGTTATTCTGCTTCCTGCCCATTCCTGGCCCACTCCTCACTCATCACCAACCCTGGCATTCAGTTCTCTTATGGTGCCTTTCTTTTCTGTGTCCACTGCCCAGAACAGTCCATCTCCCTGTCCGGAACTGACCCTTGAAATTTCTTGGTTCCTGTGCTATGTGCCTCTTCAAATCTTGCTGCCCCTACAAGTCTCTGCTGGTATCTCCCCACCTTTGGAGTCTAACCCATTGTTCCAAATAATTCCATGACTCCCTTGCTGGGACGTGACATAAAGCTTTCTTTTATATATATATATAAATCTGAAATATTAATTTTCCTCTAGTTTACAGGTTTGGCATTGTAATACCAACTAATACTTTTACACAATGACATTTTTTGGTTAAGTGGTACATGTCTTATTTAACTCCAGAGCTTGGATAATAAAAAACAAATAAATAGCAATCCTTACAGAAGGAAACTGCACCACTGTAGCTGCGAAGGCACTGCACTCACTTTCTCCCCCTACAAGCGGGTCTCTTTTTCATTTTTTTTTGGAGACAGGGTTGAGAGTAGCTCAGGTTGACTTTCTTGCTATGTAGCCAAGGATGACCTTAAACTTGTAATCTTCCTCCGCCTTCCCAGTATTGGGATTAGAACAACCACATCCAGTTTGTGCAGTGCTAAGGATTGAACTCAAGGCTTCATGAATGCTAGGCAAGCAGTCTACCAACTGAGTTACACCCCCAGCCCTGGGGACACTTATTTCGCTAGTCCTAAGTAACAGCTGGGGATAATTTGGTGTGCATCCTGCTAGGTCTGAACCAGCTCTTTTACTACATATATTGAGAATATTTTATTTTATATTGGCAAATGCTTATTATAAATACTGTGGTGAAATACACACAAAATTACATGGTGGCTCATGCTTATAATCCCAGCACTTGGGAAAGGAGAATTGCCACCAGTTTAGGACCAGCCTGGGCTATTTGTCTCAAAAACAAATAAAAAGGGAGAGGGGCTCAGTTAGTAGACTATTTGCCTTGAAGGCATGAGACCCTGGGTTTGATCCCCAGCACCTGGGAAATGGAGGCAGGAGGATCACAAGTTCAAGGTCATTCTTAGTTACATAGTGAATCGGAGACCAGCCTGGGCTAAATAGGACACTGACTTAAAAAATGAGAGGAAAGCTAAGTGTGGTGGTGCCTTTAATCCCAGCACTCCTGATGCAGAGGCAGGCAGGCAGATCTGAGTTGGAGGCCAGCCTGGTCTCAATAGCGAGTTCCAGGCCAGTTGGGGTTACAGGGAGACCTTGTCTCAAATAGACCAAAAAAAAAAAAAAGAATCATTTCTTTTCTTCTGGTGGAGATTCAACCTAGGGTCTTGTGAATACTAATTATGCCCTCTACCCAAGCTATATTGTACAGTTCTGTGGCATTACATACAATCATAATGTTGTGCAACAAAGTTTCTTTTTAGGGCCTTGGTATTTTTTCAATGGATCCTAACATCCTTGTGGTCAGGATCCCTGGCCCGTTGTGTTCGGCAAGACTGAGTAGCCACCGAGGGTGAAATGAGGAGCCTGGAGCCTGGCACTTTCAAACAAAAACCTAAAGAAAGCTCTCCTTTAGTACATTGGGTAGCAGAAGTAGCCTTACAGACAAAGTAGGCTTCAGGTGACACTGCAAAGAATTCTACAAATGAGCCCATGTGGGAGTTTAGGGCTTTCAAAGATGTATTTGTTTTGTTTACCTGTCATAACTGTACTGACAAGTGCATACCATCAGAACACAGTGTAGATGAAGAAACAGTTGCTAGGAGGGAAGTGCTCCTCTGAGATCACACGTGGGACATGGCAAGGCAGGACTCAATCGGGGTCTTCTGATGCCCCCTGACTTGGCCATTTCCACCTCAGTTGGTTGTGGGAGGAAAAGTGAAATTTGACAACAGTAGGCACAAAGGCCAGAGATGACCTCACATAAGCTGTTCTTCACGTGGGAACACAATTTGGCCCAGAGAACTTCTCCAGGGCATATTGTGAGGGCATCTGTTATTCAGAGGGCCTCGAAGAAGCTTAGATGGAAGGGTCCACCACCATCCACTGGGCCCCACTAGGCGTTAGGCTTTATGCAGAGATCCCTAGTCAGGTACCGTTTTCCCGTACTGCACAAAGAGGTTAGGGGCTGGCCTGAGATCACACAGCTGCGGTGGAGGAGTCCCAGGCTTCCACATCTGCGGCCCTAACACAAGCTAAACAGCTGCAAGTGCAAGCTTCCAAGCGGGGCGTTAACTGAAAACACTGGCTTTAAATACACTAGGGGTGCCATGGGGCCAGGCATTCAGGCAATGTGGTCCCAGAGGCTGTCTGCACTAGTGGGGCTGAAGGCAGGGCCCACATGTTTCTGGGGGCGGCGGGGTCACTGAAAATAGAATAGTGTCACCCCTCGGCACCTCTTTCTGCTTCACAGCTCTAGGCCCCAGCCTGACTCCGGCTCTGTCACACCCCAACGGATCCCCGGTTTCCGCGCCCTGGCTCCACACGCCTCGGCTCTGCTTGTACCGGGCGGCGGTCGCGGCCCGGCCCTCCAGCTCCCCGCCACACCCCTGCCCCTAGGCTCCGTCCATCCAGCCCCATTTCGGCCTTCGAGCCCCCTCACCCCTCTCTCCCGCCCTCTGCCACACTGCACCCTCGTGCACCTCGGACCCCCCACCCGACCGCCACCCTAGCCCAAGCCTCCCACCCTCGGCCTCGCTCTTCACTCCTAGCACCCCGCAGGACTCACCTTCCAGCCGGCCGCAGCGCTCCGCACGAGCTGCTCGGGCCGGCCACGCCCACTTCCCGTCTTGGGCCGCCGCGGGCTCTGCGCAAGCGCAGTCGGGCTTCGGGGGGGGGGGGTCCCTCTGCTGCCCCCTGCAGGTACCTCGAGGGTGTCGTTCTAGGGGGACACCTGTGCTCCATTCCTTGACAGGCGAAAGGCAGTCCTTTAAGCAGAAATTAAGCGGCAGAGCAGAGAGGGCCGCCCCCCGTCAGACTGCCCATCGGTCAGGAGCAAGAGACATATTCCTCTGGCTCCTGTGTTAGTTTCCAGAAAATTAGAGGGTCAAGGAAAAACCCTTTAAGTAGAAAAAAACTTTCAATGTGTAACATATTCATTTTCATACCAGTGTATGCATACAATGTGTGCATAGTGTAGTCTTAATTTAGATTTTGTGAGTTAGTGTGTGTGTCAAACAATCCCTTAGATTGTGGTCCTGCTCACTAACCTAGATCCTAAAGATGGCCTATGTCCTTCCAGGGAACTAAAGTCTCTGGGAAGCTTCACTGACTGGAGGGTTTCAGGGAAGCCAACAGATGACTGATAAGAAACTATCTCAGGTGGGATGTCAGAGCAAGAAGTGGAGGCCATTTATAACCTGGTGAGGCAACACCAATTTCATTTGAGGATGACACTCCTTGTGTCCCCAGGCTGCTGTCAACACAGCCAAGGCCTTGTTTGCATTCCATCACAACTCAGCTTCTGGCTTTCTTGTGAAAGGAATCTCAGCATTTGCCATACCAGGGCTATGCCCCTGCAATGCCACACCTTGGCTGTGGAGGCAGAGCCAAGTGATCTGAGTGCTAAGCCCCAGTCTCCCTCCCACATTTGGCCCCTCTCCCAGCCCCAAACACTTTTTTCAGAGAGCAAACACCACGCTTATTGTACCAACACACATTACTCAGAGAGAGCTGTACCACTCTTCAGCTTTTAAAATCTCAGTGACCTGTGCCTGTGACCTCAGGAAGGGAACACAAACCTCTCCTAACTTCCCAGGCTACTTGCAATGGGGTGCCCACTTGGCAGTGTTGTCTTTTAAAGGCTACTGTGATGATTTCAATCTGAAGTCTCTTGAAGGCTTGGGCTTCGGGGATGTGGTTGGATTTAAGGCCCAGAATTTGACTGGAGTGGAAAGGATGGGATAGAGGCCTTTTCAAACCCTGTAGCTCATACTTCTGGAATACATGCCAGCAACTGCTATGCAGCTTCCCCAAGGTGTCACCTCTCCCTGTTGCATATTCTTTGTTTCTATAATGGCTCTCAAATAGTTCCAGGGAACTCCATGGCTATGGTTGTTACGGCAGGGGTGGGAGGTCCTGGTAGGGCTATGTGGACTCCCGTGGGAGCTACTACTTCCCTTATGGCTCTCTCAAGTCTACCTGCCCTGGTATGACTGCACATCTACTTGAGGAAGGAGTTCATGTGAGGAACATTCCTGGCCTGGCTCTCAAGCATTCTACAGAACAGTCTGGAGAGCTGGTTTGCTGGGCTCCTGCCCCCATGGTCAGAGTGGAGTCAGTTTCTAACACATCTAAAACAGAAACCCTTCGCTGGGTGGCTGAAGGGCAACAGGAAGGAGCTGCTGTCAGAGAGCTGGCTATACTCAGCTACCACAGGGCAGTCTGGTTTAGAGTATTTTCTAAACTTGGCATGTGACCAGGTTCAATGGGGTAACTAGTTGCCTGTTTGAGACAATATAGGCTCACAAGGAGTTAGAATAGACCCAGGATATCACCAGAGTCACACACAGGCTCCATATGCCAAGCTTGCTTGGAGATTCTGAGTTTTCATAAACATACAGGTTAGGGTTGAGAGGTTAGGACCCAGGCAGTGGGCAAGGGATTCAGAATCAGGCTAAGTACTTCTAGCCCCACCTGCTCCACCTGGCTTTTCAGGGCTTCTTTCAGTTGCAGGGCCACTGATGTCCATTTTCCTGCTAGCCTTAGGTTGTCTCTTGCTTGTGTACACAGCCATATTACTCTACACACAGAGTTGGTATGAACTACAGACTTGGTGGCTTTCCTGTAGGCACTGCCACGGTGTGGGCAGAGCGGGGTGCAACTTGGACATGCACAGGAAGGAAGGGGAAGAGGAATTCTAATAGGTTTCCAGGGACAAAACCCTTTGACTATTTCACCAGTAAAAGGCTCCAGGCATCTTGCTCCAGAGAAAACACAAAAGAAAAAGCATTTTAATGTTTCAGGGACTCAAAAACAACCACCGTGATATGTCTGTATCACAGAGCTGGAGTGATGGCAAATAGGCTGTCATACAAAGTAGGCAGCCAGGGCTGACATCTTGTCCTTTGGCCGCCTGGGGTTGGGTTTCCCTGGAGGCCTCCGGCCCCGGGCCCGCCCGCGGCTCTGCCTCCTCCCAGGCCCACCTCGGTGCATGGGGTGGCAGGAGGCTGCATGCTTCAGCTCCACCAGCTCCTGGAAGACTGGATCACAGAAGATGCAGCCTGTATACTGGGTCTCACTGCCAGGGAGGGGAGACTTGACCTTGTTGAAGTCTACATCAAGTAAGGCAGCCTCGCAGGTGTTGCAGGTATCCACAGACACCCGCACTCGGTGGGCATTTTCAAAGCAGTGTGCCACCACGTTGCACTTGTTGCAGGCCACTTTCCACTTCGGGCCGGAGGTGGGGTCCAGCACCAGGACCCCGTTTTCGCACTCCACGCACTGGCCAATGCCCAGCATGCTCAGTGAATGCTGGCAGGTGGGGTGTGTGCACTCATTGCAGCCCATACCTGAGGAGAGAATAATCCTGTGACTCACACCTGCCCTGGCTCCTTCAGCCCTGGCTGCTCATAGTACCTCCAACTACTGGATCCCTACCCCAGAACAAAGTGGTACTCAGCCTGTTCTTGGGCATTCTCCTGTTCACACTGGCCTGGGTTCCTTGAATCTCCAACTGCATCAATCCACTGTCTGCTCATCTACAAGTTCTGTCTTCAATGTCCCCTGGAGGATTCTGGCTGACCCCTCAACCCTCACTTTGCTTCTGTAGCTTATTACTGTCTACTCCACATTGCCGTCATGTCACCTGGTACTTGTCTGCTGTACTGGAAGCCACTGGAGGGCAGGAACAGGGCAACCTGGGTGTAGACTGAAGCTCCTTCTAAATGCCATGGGTAACACAGGTGCTGGCCCCCAGTCTGTGATGGGGATGGTAACACCCAAGAGTGGCTAAGTGTGCTAGGCAATGGACCTCTCTGGTTCCTGGCTTGGCATTCTGTCCAGCCTGGACACAAGCTCTCCTTTTTCTAGCAAAAGGTGCACGGAGAGATGCAGCAGTTGTAAGAGCCTCGGGTGCTTGTTTGCCAGATGGCCCTATCTGTTGCCTGCCTCACTTAGCCCAGCCCCCATCCAGATCTTAAGTAAGCAATTTGCCTGTTCCATTATGACCCAGCAGGCCGAATAGGCCAGTCATGCCTGAGTAGTGTCTCACGTATTTCCTGGGGTCTCTGTCTCATTACTGGTGAGTGTGGGAAGGGATAGATAAGGTGAGGAACCACATTAAAAGTGTAAGGCTAGTGGCAGCCTGGCACCATACTCACCTTTCTTCATGTCTCGGAAGGGTGGGTGGTTGTAGCAGTAGGGACAGAGTGGGTAGCTCTTGCCCCGGGAGCCAGACGACCACAGGACCAGTTCAAAGTCATCTAATGGGCACCGGAGCTCCTTGTAGAGCTTGATGGTACCGTTTTGGGGGAGGGTGTAGGTCTCATCACAGTGGGAGCAGTGCAAGCGGCTTGGCTTGGCCTATGGGACAGGAGGGACAAGAAGGATACCAGGGTGGCTAGGCTTGACTCTTCTGCCCACTCTCCTTCTCTCCACAGCACTGAATAGGCAACTCAGATTAATCAACGGGTTATACAGCATGTGGAACTCACTGCCAGGCAAGAATGTCTTAACCCCTGGGATGAAGCTTAGGACACTTATCCTCCCACACAAAGGCAGGCATTCTAGTCTCTGCATAGGGCTTGTGCGATGGCTTAGCAGGCAAAGATGCTTGCTGACAAGCTTGAATTCTGAATTTGATCCCTAGAACTCTTAAGAGTAGAAGGAGAGAACTGACTCTGGTAAGTTGCCCTCTGACTTCCACATGTGGGCCTTGGCACATGGGTGTACATATACACACACAATACATAAATGTAAGGTTCCAGTGTTTATAATATCCAGGATAGCAAGAAAGAATGGACAACGTGTACATGTGGCCCCTGTGTTACCAGTGCTGATTCAGGCCTTGCAATCATTCTGTATGACAACCAAGACAATGAACATTATTTCTTTGTGACTAATGACAAAGTAGAGGCTTGAGGTGATGTCAGCGCATAGAATGCTGTGGCTAGGAGAGGTGGCCACAGCCCTTCACCCTCCACATACCTGGATGTACTTCATGAATCGATGGCACTTCCCACAGCGTGAGAGGGGCTTGCCCGTAGCAGCCAGGGGTGAAAAGGACACTTCCATCAACTCATCCATGCCTGAGAGCAAGCAGAGTGCAGGAGTCATGTCCCTCCTGGTCTTTGGCAGCCCTCCCTCCAACAGGTGGCTTCGTAGAACTAGGTGAATTGGAGGGAAGGACACCACACACGGTCAAGGATCCAAGTGTGACTGTGTCTCAGTGACAGAGTGCAGAGCTGTAGCCCCGTTCATCAGCTTCGTGTATTCTTGGTGTGGGTATTAATTCACCTGCTCTTTAATCCTGACAACAGCCAACAAGGAGGTATCACTGCTGTGGCCTGCAGGGGCCCCAGAGCCCAGACCCAGGAGTGGGCCTCAGGTGGCTGTCCTCGTGAGGGGCAGGAAAGAGGCAGGCAGGTCTTACCAGCAATAGAGTCAACGAAGTAGTGGAACTTTCTCTTGAAGATATCCAGGGTATGGCCCAGGACTTGGCGGTAGTCGGCTTTGCCCTGGGCAATCAGGTTCAGCTGTTTCTCCACTGCACTTCGGATGGTGGGGAGCACTAGCTCTGCATCTATGAACAAGTGGGTAAATGTTGCTGTGAGACTGGCACCCAGGGCTCTGCCACTTACCAGGTTACCCCTGGCTGCCTGTCAATAGAGTTGGAGGGCATCAAGGGCAGTTCCTATTGTCCCCA